AAGAACTAATGTGGTACAATAATTAACTGAAAGATGTTCAGGGCTAAGATACAGATTAGAAATTACTTATTCAGTAGATCACAAATAATGTAGAAAAACCCTGTTGGGAAACAGTCGTTTTATCATACAGCCCAAAGACAATGATGAATTTAGCACAAATGGGATTTATTACCCATACAAGATGGCATATTAGGTCAGAAAGAAGAAGATACCAGTGGACAGAAACAACAACTACAACTTCCACAGTCTCTACTTTCTGGAACATTCCATCACCACAACCTTCCAAGAGCTGGCCAGTTAGGTGTTAAGAAATACGCTGGAGTGGATATAAGAACCCATGCATAGGGATGAATGCCCCAATTGGGGTAAAACATAAATTATGCTGTGAGCCAAAAAAGGTCTATGAAAAAGACAGCATGAACAGCTACAACAATATTGTGTTGGATTACCATTTGATGGAGTTGCTGTGGAGCTTCTTTGTCCTCTAACACAGAGTAACTGTGGAAATACATATATCATGGTTGTGATGGACTATTTCACCAAATGGCCTAAAGCATATGCTATTCTAAACCAGGAAGCAGAAACTCAAGTTAGGAAACTTGTGAACGAATTAGTTTCGAGATTTGAGGTACCTGTGGAACTTAACTCACATCAGGAATAGAACTTTAAATCAGCCTTGTTTGCAAAAGTGTGGCAGATCCTTGGAATTAAAAAATCAAGTCAAAAGCCCTTCACTCATTTTCTGATGGCATAGTGGAGAGATACAACCATACACTGTTAAATCAATTAGGCACTTATGTGCATGAACATCTGAAAATGTGGGATTAAGACCTCTCACTGTTACTTTTGGATTATTGAACAACAATACACGATGCTAAAGGAAACACACCATCTGGAGGGTAGTCACTCAACAGTCTTAAACAGAATTTGCAGAGTGACTAAGGAACGCCACCGAGGTCATACATGGCTTACCTACGAATTACTTAAATTAGATGGTATTAAAATGAAAGGTCACCATGATTTTAATTCTTAAAAGATCAGATTCCATTCAGGTTACATGATATGGATGTGCAGTCCCAAATTGCAAATGAAGGAAAAACTCCAAAGTTAAGTTGGTCTTGGGAAGGGCCATATGTTGTATTTAAAAGAATCATTGATATGGTTTACAGAATCCAGAGAGATAGGTGGTTCAAGTCAAATGTCATCCAATGTGATACTCTTTGAAAGAACATAAGTGAAATAACAATTAACTAGGTAACTCCACATAAGAATTTGGCAGTGGAACGTTAACATGCTGAGAAGCCCAGGTTTCCTATCAAGATCGCCTTCAGAAGATCAACAAGGATAAAGCCACCAGTCGATTTACTCGATCACTTACCTTGGAAAAACTCCTCAGATGACAGGGCAGTAAGTTACTACAAAGTACAAGAAGGCATCCCAATTACATGTCATAACTATCAGTAAAAAAATCACGAAAAAGACTTGGTAATGGACAATTTAGGGTTTTATTTTTGTTTTAAGATTGTTCAAGGAAGATACTTCACAATCCAGGAAAGGGACATTGTTGTAAGCTATGTTTTAATTTAGATGTTAGCTAGAAAACGCATGAAGTTAAGATCTAGTAATTTCGATCAATATCTATACATAGGTATATTAGTTATAAATAAGAGTAGGAATGAATTATTTAAAGAGAAGTTACTAAATATTCAGTTACAGTTATTGCATCTGTTCTGTTTTACAGTTACTAGGTTTCGTGAGTTTCTGAAAAAGTTAGTTCAATTAGGCATGCAGTTCACAGTTTATATTGAAATATTATATTTGAGGTTAGGCCAACATCTAGTTGTGGAGTTAGTGTTAAATCATTGTTTGTGCACTTATGCCTACTACTTGTATCAAAATGAATGAAGCCTGTAGAAACGTTAAAAATAAATTAATTTGTTATCATTACACGGACTGGATCTCAAATTATTTTTACCAAATAATCCGTCCAACAATAGAATGTTATAGCAATATACAGTATATGGTGCCTGATGAGCCCTGGGAATGGGTGCAAGGTCTTGTTGGCATTGGATATAACAGATGTAGTATGATTTACATGTGCTTTCACTCATGGGTTCTTAGAATTACTGTGGTTCCCTAACCTGCTTTGAGAACAAGACTAACTTGCTGGTTTGAAAATTTTTGTGGATGAAAATAATGTTGATTAACAAATAAGTAATAAATATAAATAAATAATTGGTACAAAATTTAAAATAAATAGCACTATGTTATGAATTTTTACCCTAATAATCTAACCAGTGGGAAAACTTGTGCTTTGCATATGAAACATTTTTTATTGTGGTATGTATTCAAAGTAATTAAAACAGTAATGTAACCTGCCAAAATTACTGAGGTAAGAGGTTAGGTAGATAAAAGTCCTGAACAAGTCTGATTGCCATGCAGGGCATTTCAATGACTACAAGGTTAAACCTATTCCGCAATAAATGAAACCTACCAAACACCTCTAGTACAAAAAAAGATACTTTGAGCCGAGTGGTTTGGTCAAAAATGATAAATAAATCAACTTATATAGTAAGATATAGAAGGTCTATAGATGTTGTCTGGTTATCAGGGGCAAGTATTAAAGCTCAATAGGATGATGGTACTGGTGCTCTAAGTGTCTATAAACAATGAAGAAATTCACACACAAAACACTACTGTCTAAGATGGGGTTCTGAGGAATGACACCTCCATTTCCCCAAGTACCACCACTTGACTACAAATGTTATGGTGTGAACTGGATTAAGTTGGTGAAATGACATTTTTCATCAGTCTTATTTATGTTTAACACAACGATTAGGGTAAGGATTTTCTAACATTAGCAAACAAACAATACTGGAGCAGGTCAATCAGTCACTGCACCAGTGGAAGAAATGTTTCCAGTTTCAATGCAAGGTTGCTCAAGTAAACAGTTAAACTCCCTTTGAAGATGCAAGTTTACTAATTAACAGTTAACTGTTTCTTTCAGGAAAATAACACATGACATCCAGAAATAGAAAAATGTCTGTCGGTAAATTTGTTAGCTCTTGATTCACAGTATACGAGACTTATGTGTGGATGGCATGCTTTTGTGCAAACCTGGCTTTTTAAGTACTACATGATTATGTATATGAAGCCAGTTTTGCCACTGTACGAGGATTTTAAACCTTTCTGACCAAGTCTTAAACTGGAACTTGTATATCCAGGATAACCTAACCTTTGTTATAAGTCTTAGACTTACATAACCAGTGAAACCTACAAGAATAGTCTTGTAGTCTTTTTTTTTGTGTGAACTTAACTTGGGATTTTGTTTTATTAGCAATTTAAACATTATTTTTGCTCAGCTAGCAAAGAGTAACAGTAACATAAAGCTTAATTTCTAGTGAACTTGCATTTGGTCCACTCTTGAGTACAGTGTTTGCTTAGAACATACACCGTATTTCACTTAACAATAACTTGGGTTTGCTTTTATTTTTATTTTAGAGGTTTTCATTTATTTCACAGGGAGAATACAATGAACTGGTAAGAACTTTGAATAAAGCTTTTAATATATATATTTTTCCATCAGTTCAACTACCCACCACAAACACACCCATATTTTGTTTTTATAAATGAATATTTTTGTCCTGTGTGTATCTTTTGGCTTTGAATCTTTCTTCCAGTCAATCCTGGTTGGAGATCGAGAGAGACACCCAGTACACTTTGTCTTCTGGTAACTTAGAAACTTACAGTTAGTTACTTTCTTTCATTTTAAATCAATACTTCATGATAACCTAATTGTTATAGGCAGTTATTAAACTATGACTGTGGAAGATACAACAAACTAACTGCTAGTTGAATGAAAAAGTTCACACCATCAAATAAAATTTTGATTGTTTTCAGCAATATTCTTTAATAATAACAGTAAAATATTTTTCCAAATCTGTAAGAAACTAGATTTTAGACACACTATTTTATAAAACATCAATGTCAATATAATCAAGTAATTCTATTTTCAAATTTAAACAAATCAATGTTAAGGTATTACACAAGGGTGCATTATAATGGCAGTGGATTATAACTTTCTTATAACTTATTTTTAATAAAATTATTATAAACACCTCCCACTAGTACTCCAGCAGTCATGCCAACCAAGCCACCTGACAGAGCTCCATGGCCCATTGCTACTCCAAGACCAGTTCCTCCTAGTCCACCAAATATTGACAAGCGGTCAACCCTTACTTGACCCTCATTATGACGCAATCTGTAGCAACGATCGAATATACCATCTTGTTCTAAATTTCTGATGCGTCCATAAGTCATGAGAGGTCCTACAACTAAGCCAGTAGCTGCCCCATATTTGCCACCATTCAAAGCTGCTTGTCGCAGATTTCCTGCAGAACGATGACCTCTGACTACTGCCACTAGTGGGCCAATAATACCCATTCCTAAAATGGTGAAAGCTTGCACATCCTTCATGGTTATGTGAATACCTAGTTCAAAGGATGGGTAGGGAATGTTCTGCATCTCCTCGTCAGTTACCTTCATGCCCAGAAGGTTCTTGAACCACGATGCACTCATGTTGTCTTCTCTGCCTGATTAAAAGTTAACTTGTTAGGCTTACTTAAATTTATCCTATAACTCTTACTGAAACAAGTAGCTCAAATTGACCTCAAAAGCATATTATATCATGAAAATACAAATTTCTTTAAATGTAAAGATATTTTTTAGACTATATAGCACTGATGCTACTATTTTTCTTCTAAATTCTTCAGCAAACATCATGCGTAAGATAACTTATTTTTTCTCATTTGAGCACCATAATTGCAAATTTTGATGAGAAAAAACAAACATTAAGCCTAATTCATTCTTGGACTAAACCATTTATCAATGAGTCATACAGGTTTCTAAGAATTTCACACCCAAATCAAAGGAACAAGACCTCAGAAAAGACCTAGTTTTCTTCTTCAATTTATATGTGTTGAGAATTACTTTTGATGGATTAATTTTCCCAACTCAGTTTCAGTGCCAAGTGAAGAATCAATGTGCACCTCACGTTTGCTTTTTTGTCAAAGTTTGCAAATTTGATGTCCACAGGTAAAAGTATCAACTTCTAAGGTGAAATAACATATATACATATAACATAGTGCATGTGTGTAGCAGGAATAAGGTACATTTAATAGAAATGAGATTTACTTGCATTCTCTATTATATTTCTACTAATTATTTAATCGTAAATCATTCCATGCAGAACATTATAGAGGAATGACCATACTGTACTACATCAGGACATTAAGGATTTGATCAAGAATTAATTATTGTATTGGTTATTGTCCTGTGAGCAATTTCTACAAACTAAGGTTTTTTTTAAACTTTCCAATTATGACAACTGTTTCCGGTATAAAGATGATTAAATTGAAGCTAGATTTTTACATCCAAAAAATTTGCATATGTTAACAACAACTAAGAAAAACCTTTTCAATAAGTATCCAATTCAACTGCCAGAACATGAAAATAGAAAAACTTTTACGAAAAAAATAAAATTTAAAACAAAATCACTAAAAAGCAATAAAAGACGCTATCTAACGCTAGATTATGAAAAATACTGAAAATTTCAGTAATCCTTAACATAATCAGATATGTGATCGAGGCTGCAACCTCAGATGAGTTTAGGAAAATAACTAATGAATATTATGGAGGCCGTATTCTATTTATTCTAAGTGGGTGTTAGGACAATGATGATGGGTCAAGAGACCCTAAAGGTCCCATAATTTAAATGTTATCTTTTTTAGTAGGAGTGTCACAATTACTCGGATATTACAATTCGATTCGAACCTTAATCAGTACAAAATGCTCTTGTTGTTACTCGAAGCCATTGTTTCATGTTATATTTTATACCTAATTGTATATATATATATTGCCAAAATTCGATTTAAGCCAAAGTGCGATGTTTCGGATTAAACCGATTTACTCAAATGAGAAATCCTACATTAGAATGAGAAGGTAGAAAACAAATAGCATACCTGCATAATACCGAAATTCCTATGTGGGAAATAGTAGTTTATTAGTACAAATGAATGTTTAGAACTTTTAGATGCTTTACAGCATGCGCGAGGAGCTACTTCCCGTCTCGTTCAATACATATAAACCAAGGCGGTAATTTTAATAAGCCAGCTCGTCTGAATTATTTCATTAATTTTGTTATTAGATAACTGTCTGATTTAATAAAATGTTCACCTTTCAATGTACGATGGAGTAACGAAAACTCAGTCCTATAAACTACGTAGACTCTGGGGTCAAGCGCTGCTCAGTTTTAGGCGTATGAGACTTTTGATTCAAGGCACTGTAGTTTGCGTCCCGCTACCGCTAAGAAAAAACAAAACAGCACTCTGTGACGTGAGACCGTAGAAAAATTTCAAACCTATAGTTTTAAGTAAATAGAAAGGAAGTTTAAAAGCTTTTAGACGGATTCAGTTGCTTGAATTACCATAACAGCAATCTCAAAATGACAAAATATTATCAAAGAAATATATTTGAATTAACCCAAATCTCAATTGAAATGCTTGTTTTACTTTTAGTGTATGCTTTTAAAGTTTAGTTTTACTATCCAAAAATTATAACAACAGTTTTGGGCATAAACATAATTGAATCTCTTAAAAATGTATCCAGTGATAACCACCTTTCATTTCACAAGTGTAAATTCATATTTTGTTCTTTAGTTTTAATCAGCGTTACTTATTGCTACTGCTAGAGCTCGTTTCATAACAAAGATAATAAAATGTAAATTAAAATACATTTTATAATATTTTTTTTGCCACGATTTTTTAAGTTGTTAATATTGTTGCGTCAGCGAGGTCACGTGACTAGTGTCACGCCACCTGCTCTCTAGAAATATCCTGTTCCTTCGTGAATGCCCTGGCATTTACTAAATTGGGGGGTACTCGGGTATGTATAGGATGGTCACAACGTGACGGGACAATGTGTGTAGGTAAT